GGGGTGAAGCAGAACTTAGCTGAGGCCAGAGAGATCCCACTGATGGCTTCCAGGAGGATGGGGGGGGGCGTACTCAGCTGTGGGAGGGGCCTTGAGGAAGAGCAGCCATCTCAGCTTCCCACTTTCCTTCTCCAGTGTCCTGGGCACCACAGGGTGCCAGCAGGTGGGTACTGATCCTATGTCACAGATGGTCAAGGGTGGTTAGCTTCTCTTGTTTAACCCTCTGCCCATTTTTCTGATGTGCCACCAGATCAGGGAGAAAGCCCACTTGCGCCCATCACCCACCTGGCACTCAGGGGCTGGGCCCAGGCTACCCACTGCAAGGTGAAGTCAGTTATCCACCCCACCCTGTCTTTGCTGTGGCCAGTAGTCTCGAGAAGACTCCAGCTGCATGAGGCTTTTACTGCAAACAGATTCCTTGTGATATTTAAGTTATTTTGGTGTTTTTAAAATACATTAATGTGGAGGGAGCAAGTGTGAGAATTTGAACTTCGGACTATCCATCATTCCCTGTCAGTTCAAGCCTAAGGTCTCAGAGAGAGGCTGAGCACATAGAAATGGGCTTGAGTCAGGTGGTCACCTGCCTTCCCCCCTCTCCTCCCTTCCAATTTTTTAAAAAAGGTATGTTGGTTGCTTTTGTTTTGTTTTGTTTTTTTCAGGTTGTCTTGCTATGTAGCCCTGGAGGCTGCAAGAAAAACACCCCATCACTTTGCTGTGCTTGTAGCAAGGAGCAGAGTCCAGGAGGCCACCTGTGGCTCCCGAGTGGCAAAAAGGCCCCAGGAGTCTGCCGATGGGCAAGGTGTCAAAAGCAACTGGTGCGGAGGTCTTGAGGAAAACCATTTCTGAGGGCCAGTTTCCCATAGGAAGCTGGAGGCCCTCAGCCCTGGCTGCGTATTTATGAGAGTAATTGATGGTATAATCACCAGTGCGGGAGACAAAGGAGAATACACATTTTTAACATCATAACCTTCAGGAGACAAGACTCAATTTTCTTCAGTCGTCCAGCCACCAAACCAGTCGGCTTATGGATGGCGAGACACCAACAGTTAGGCCAGGAACCCAGAGAGGCCACAGACAGTTTTTCAGGGCACGAGCTGCGTGTCAAATGCTCCGGAGCCCCTCCTCCAGGGCACCCCACTGCTTCTTCCCAGCAAGGCAGAGCACTTCAGACTAGCAATCACTCACTGGGCTAAGCACCAGGCCAAGCTGGGGGCTTTGTCTGCACTGGGGGCATTAATAATTGATGGGGCTGGGCTGGGCTGGGGGCCACATGCTGCAGTGGGCTTCCGAGGCTTCACTGTCTAGATCTAGCTTCCTTAGGAAACCAAGCCCAAACACTTGGAGATCCCTACTCTACATGCCCCAGCTGGGCTTCATACCTCCAGAAGCCAGGAATCACCTAGGAGCTCATTAAAATGCAGATGGGGGTGGAGTGAGTGAGGACTGAGGTGTAGGTCAGTGGGAGAGCTCTTGCCAAACTGGTACAAGGCCCTGAGCTTGATCCCCAGCACAAACAAAAGAAGGGAGTATGAGTTGGTTCGCAGGTAAAGGTGCTTGCCACCAAATCTGACAATCTGGGTTCAAACCCCAGAACTCTCATATGGTGGAGGGAGAGAACCAACTCCTGCATATTTCCTCTGACCTCTACATGTACACTCCAACAAAATAAAAAAGGAAAGAAAGAGGAAGGGAAGGAAAGGAAGGAAGGAAGGAGGGAGGAAGGAAGGACAGACAGGTCAGTGGTCTGGGGGCATATACATCATCACAACACCCTGGTGTGCTCTGACTAGGACCTGTAAATGTCCTCCCAAAGCTTCCGCCTTCCTGTCCCTGTCCAGAAAAAGTGTAGAAAACTGAGATGTGGACTCCAGCAAGATTTGCCTCTATCTCAAGCTTCTGGTCCCTCCTGGAGAAATGCACTGCTTTACCAGTTCCCTGGGAAACGAGGGGGCTACATTGGAGTTAGGGTCATGCAGAGAAAGAAGTTCATCAAAGGACTGGACTGAGTCTGCCCAAAAACCAGCTTCAAGATGACAGGTCCAGAGCCACCTGCACACTGTCATTCTGAATCTGGCCCTCCAGGCTCTGTACAGGTTCTGTGACCTTGGGTAAGTCGTTGGCTCTCTCTGAACTCAGTTTCCTTGAGTATCTAATGCCAGTCTCACACAAATGATGCTAGCCTGTGTGAGTTCACAGTCGCAGGAGGTCTGGGGCACCTAGACACACACTCAGCATTCTGCACACTATCGCTGCCTGTCCTCCCAGTCCAGCTGGGGGCATGGCAAGGAGCTTGCCTTGAAGGGGTGGAATGGATGCAGGAGGGATCTGAGGAGTAAACAGACATCCTCTATGACTTGGTCACAGTCACTCCCTGTGACAACCCTGGGGACAGACAGATGCAAGGCAATAGCTGGTGGCTGGGCTGGGCTCAGGTGGAGCTGGAGCCATGTGCTATCACCAAGCTAAGCAGTTGGGACTCAGGACCCTGTCCCCAGGAATCCCTGCTTCTACCCCCAACCCTTGAGCACAAACCCAGAGACACCATCCTGACCTGGCCATATTCCCTGAATCAGCTGAGGACACAAGGAGCCCAGGAATAATGAAACGATCAGGCTCCAATCTGCTAAACAGCAATTTCGGGGCTTTTTCAGCACACACAGCTTTTATCAAATTGGTATTCTCCTCCTGAACACAAATGGCTTATTAGACATGACCCACTTATTCGCCGCGTCTCACTATCATTAATAACTGTTTCTTTTTGTGATTAAGTGAGTGGCTCCAGACCCTTCCTGTGGTGACAGGGTGCTGGGCCCGGCGGAGGGGCAGCTGTGGGGCTCCTTAGCAGTCACTACTTGGTGACTTTGAACCTGGCAATGTCGAGAAGGTAGCGTGGCCCCTGCAGAGCAGCCGGTCCATTTCTTGAGGGACAGAGCAGGAGGTCCCAATGGGTAGCTGATTTACCCAGAGACAATCAGGAGGAGGTCAGACTCCCAGCACCTGGCCCTGTCCCCTTTACAGCAAGCACCTTCTTTGGGCCTTCAGGGATTGGTCCGGAGTGGGAATGGGAAGACCACAGTGGGGCTGTGCCCCCTCAGCACAGCTGGCACCAGGAGGCAGAGGATATTGTCACACAAAGGGAAGAGCCTGCTTGCTCAAGAATGACCCAAATCCTGGGGGTCTGATGCCTCAAAGTCAGAATGACTGTAAGCCTCAGAGTTCCATGTTCATACCTCAAGGGATCTCAAACTCAGAAAGGGAAGCCCTTCTCAGAGAAGCCTCCTACTGTAAGTTTTGGCAGTGCCTGGGCAAGCAGGCAGGGAGGGGAGAGGGAGGAGGAATTCCCAGTTCCCCTGAATGAGAAGGAATGACAGGGAGATGAATGCCCGGGACAGAGTGCTGCTTCGCCTGACAGACCCTGGAGCCAGCCTTAGCTCAGCCACTCTCTCACTGTGTGACCTTGGGCAACTCCCGTCACCTCTCTGAGCCTTGATTTCCCATCTGTAAGTAGAGCACCAAAATGGTTCTTTCCCTATTTACTGCCTGTGCAGCCAGGTCAGCAGAAATCGTGAGGGGACACAAAGGTATGCAAATGACGCAAGGAGAGAGGTTACTGGCAAACAGTGAGGAGGAGGGACAGGGATCCCCGGCTTCCCCATAAGCAGGGATCCTGAGCATGGCTTTGAAAACCCTCCCCCCCCAGCAACCCCTTTCGTGCAGCACACCTGTAAAAGGCCTTCTCTGGGTATCTAGGCCCCTGCACACCCCCTGTAACATAACTCATTCCCACTACAATAAACCATCCGGTCCTCAGCCCTTTGTTCAAACCTCCTCCAGCCTGGGCACACAGAGCACAGCATGGGTGCTGTAGCCTGTGCTCTGGGAAGGGAGCAGGGTCTCTTCCACTTTCATCCATCCCAGCGCCTTAATACAGTGTGGCTCAGAGGCAGGGAGCTGCCTGTCTCACGCCACCCAACTCTGCTGCCAACTTGGGCTCCTGTGGGGAGGGAAGGTACTTCAACACTTGGGCAGGCAGGACTGGGAACTTGCTTGCTCCCTGATCCCAAATGCTCGAGTTGAGGTTCAACATTTCAGTCCTCTGCGGGCAAGGGTGAGATGGGGTGTCCTGAGGAAGGATATAGGGGTTTCCTGTTCACCCTCTGAGACAAACAAAGCGCCCTACAATTCTCCCACCCCCTGCCTCTGTCTGCAAGGAGTGACCTCAAGTACTCCAGCATATCCCAGCTCTCTGCCCCTACCCCTTCATCCCCACATCGCCCTCATTCCTGGGATACCACCCCCTTGGCAAAGGAGCCTGTCACCCAGCCTAGCAGGTCTCAAGCAACAGCATCTGGCGTCCCTCAGGACCATTCCCAGCGGTGAAAAGGATGGTTCCAGATGAAGAGCTTGAGAACAGCTTCTGCGTTAAACCCACAAAGGAGAAAGGCGCCCGGGCAGAGAGGAGTGGGTGGGCAAAGTGTGTGCACAAGTGTGTGCGTGAATGTGTATCCGTGTCTGCAGGCAGGCAGACAGGCAAGAGTTGTGGCGAAGCGAAGCGTGTGTGCCTGGGTGCCAGCTGGCAGGGTGAGGGTCTGATGCGCGTGCATAGTGGGCACAAGTGTATTTACCAGCACGGAGAGGCTCGGAGGGGGTGTGCGGAGTTGTGAGTGTGGGATGCAGTGAGCGTAGCTGAGTGTGTCCGCGGCTGGAGATATCTGTATGGTCGCGGAGGTGTGTGTATCTGTGCGAGCGTGTGCGCGCGTGGAGCGGGTTCTCCAAGAGCTGGAGCAAGAGCAGGGGCGGGGTGCGCTCGGGGGGCCCTTCACAACACTGGCCAGGATGGGGACCAGGGTGGGTTCCTTGCCCCAGCAGGGGGCGCCTGGGAACTCCCGGCCGCGGCCTCTGTGGTTGCAGGTTCGAGCCCCGCAACCGCCAAGTTGGAGTGTCTGCGGCCGGGGTGGGGTTCAGTGGGGGAAGTCCGTGGGGGCGGCACACGAACTCACCGTGTCCGGAGACGTGGTTGTCCCAGGGCGCATGGCCCGCGGGCCGCGTGGCGCCTCCGAGTTGCAGGAAAAGTGCCAGATAGTGGAGGGCGCCCAGCGCCGCGGCCAGCGGGGCCCCCATGCTGCGCGCTCCGGCCGGGGGCGCCGCCGCCTCACATCGGGGCTCCGCAGCCTGCAGAGCCCGCGCCTGCCGTGTCCTGCCCGGCGCCGCCGCCGCCCTCTCCCGCTGGCCCCGGCCCGGCCCCGGCTGCAGGCAGCGAGCGCACGCCCAGCCCGCCGCCTCCGACTGCGGGACTCTTCGCTTGCGCGGAAGGCCACTCCGTGCCGCCGCGCACCCGCCCTCCCCCTCGCTCCCCGCCCTGAGCCGGCGGCGGCGGAGGGATCCGCAGCTTGATTTATCATCAAAGTTTTGCCCAGGCTGGGATTTTTAAAGCGGTACTCGCAACTGGCCTCCCGCGCGGGAGCGGGGGTGGGGCAGGCCTGGGCGCCGGAGGCCACCTGGGGGCCCGGCCCCCCGCAGGGCGGAACACTAGGGTGTTGGCAGCAGAAATATACTCGTTGGGAATAAGGGGCAAAGCCTCCCACCTGCCGCCAGACCCGCGCGCTGGAGGGACCGCTCAACTTTGCCAGCTGAGCGGTGCTGGAGCCAGGTCCAGGCGGGGTGCAGGCCAGGTTAGCAGGGGAGGGGGGGCACTGGGGCCAAGACACGAGTGCTTAACGCTCTGGCAGCATTAGGCTCCCCGCACCTCGAGGTCTTCGTCTGAGAAATGGGGACAGTCGCCACCTCCAGAAGCAGTAGTGAGGATCTTTGGGGTTAGGTGTGTAAAGTGGGGGGCACCGTGGCCTCCACAATCCCCTCTGTGGTTATGATTGTGGTTCCCCTCTCTGGGACTCAATTTTCTGCGCCTCCACAATAGGCGAGTGAGGCTAGCCAGTTAGTGGGGCTCCTAGTTTAGAGGTGTTGGGGTTCTACGCAGTGAACTGGATCGCCCCCTTCTGGACTGTAAGGCTCTCCCTAGACGGGAGTCTAGATTGAGGTAGGTGTTTGTGTGTGTGTGTGTGTGTAAAAACCATCAAGCTGCTTCTTCCATTCCCAAGCGCAGCAGTCCTTCCCTGACCCTTTTACTGGGTCTGTTGGAATTGGAAAAGAGGGTTTGGACTCATTTTTTTTTTTTTTTTCAAAAAGAGAAACCCCTTTCATCAGACCGCTTTTTCCGAGGTCCTGTGAAATCTGGCACAAGGCCTCAGAACCCGGAAAGGGTCCCTTCTTCCCTCATTCCTCCTTCGCCTCTTTTCAGCATTGGCGGAACGGCATCCTTCTCCCTTCATCCTTTAAGTAATGCGGACAGCGCCTCGGGGAGCTTAGATGCAAGGGTTCAGTACCATGGACAGACATTCCGCTCCGCACGCAGCACCACAGGGGTCCAGCAGCCAGCAGAGCGCACAATACCCAAAGTTTGAGAAAGCTAAGAAGCGGAGGGACACACCGTGCTTGTTGCTTTTATTGTGTCTTCCCGTCCCTCTTTCAGAAGTTACGGTGCTCACCAGGAACAATTCAGGCTTCCTCAAGACCTTGCCTTCCCTGCCAGGTGTTGCATTGCAGAACATCCCCGCCAAGAGCCATTTCAGCACCACGGACAGCTCTCCATTAGGCTCACAGAGGCTGACAGTCCCAGGCCTTTCCAGAACATTGTAGTGGCAGAACTGAGCCTCTCAAATCTCCTACAACACAGACTTGAAACAAATAAATACATTTAAAAATAACAGAGAGAGAGGAGGAGGGGGAGGGAGAGAGAGACAAGAGAGAGAACAAAGGGACAAGAAGTCATAGCCTCTCAGAACCTAGTTGTTATATTTTAAATTTTTATTTATTGGTTGGTTATGTTTTGTTTTGTGTTTGTTTTGGTGTGTGTGTGTTTCATGTAACCCAAGCTGGCCTTAAATTCATTTATGTAAATGAGGCTGATCTTGAACACTCAGTCCTTCTGCCTCTATCTACCCAGTCCTGGGACCACATGTGACCTATATCATCATGCTCAGCTTCTAGGAAAGATTTGACTCGGAAAGGCTCATGACTGCATAGATGTTTTGTATCCATGCTTACTTGGGAATCTTGACTTGTCTGTCTGGCATTCATCTGTCTGTGGTCCAGCTGCTGCACCCTCCTTGAGCACACTTTCTCTTCACTGAATCTGGCTCTTGCCATTGCCTTTCATATGTGTACATACCAGATCCACCGTGTCATTGAGTCCCCCCATGGGCCAAAGCCCAGCCTACATTCCCAAGAAATACCTTATGACATCTCCCAGTCCCAAGTCCCTGTAGCACCACACTGGATAAGGCACTGTGCAAAAATAATCTAATCATCCCACTTGCCTCCAAGAAAATTAGGCCACATAGGCAGGATGTTGGTTACAAGAGTGGGCTCTAGGAACTGGACGTTAACTAAGTGGGTAGAACACTTACAGCACAAGAGGTCCTGAGTTAAGATCCCTGCCTCGTGCAAAACTAGATTTGGTATTGTGCACCTGCAACCCCAGCACTCTTACAGCTAGAATCAAGGCGGAACATGAGAACCCTTTGAAGCTTGTGACCCAACTAGCCTGCTGTACACAGTGTTGAACAGCAGGAGACCCTGTCTCAAACATGGTGGAAGGTGACTGACCCCGAGGGTTTCCTGACCTCCACACACGAGCTGTGGTATGCATATACTCACACACACACACACACACACACACACACACACACACACACACAGATTTTAAAATACTGGGTCCTAGAGCCACACCCTGAATTTCGAATGCTGCTATTTGCTAGCTCTGCTACCACAGACAAGTCATTTCCTTTTTCTGCCTCAATTTCTTTCTCTGTAACATAAGGGCAGTAAAACCTCCATACAAGATCATTTGGAGGGTTAAATCAATCTCCACATGGACAGCACTTCGAACAGTGCCTGCATATAGGAGATACATGATGATGATTCCTATCACTGCCAACGAGGAAACAGAGGCTCAGAAAGGGTGCACCTGAGGCCAGAGCAAGGCAATGCTAGAACTGTGTTGATCTGGGCAGCAGATCAGGAATATCTGAGCAGCTACAACTTAATCCACTCTCATTGCACCTTTGGTAGGGGAGAATCAGGCTGGCCAGTGGCTTCCTCAGAGATACACACTTCCCAGAACAAGGTCCAAAACCTCTGTCCCCCATCTCAGACCTCCCCCATTGTGTCCTACTGTTCCACTTGCATTCCCTACAACAGCTACTTAAATGGCACTTCACAGTTTACAAATCATATTCACATCCATAATGCCTGAGGTGTGTTCCCCTCAGGGAACACCATTTCTCCCCTTTTAATGAAATTTCCTAAACTGCTGCCTAGGGTTTGGAGAGAGTGACTTTCAGTTCCAGGAATGGCCACGGAGTCTCCTGGCCCGTCCTGGGAGTGGCCCCGACTGTACCAGCATCCATCATTCACATTCATGACTCCTGAGGCCAATATTCTTCTTCCACAGTTGAGGAGACTGAAACTCAGGGAGATGAAGTCGCATGTGCCAGCTGCACGTGTGACTGGCAGAGCCAGGTGTAGGGAACAAATCCCCAGGCGGCATGCCTTCCTTGTGTAATTGTCTCTTGTCTGCATCCCTGATCCAAATGCAAACTGCAGACCCTGTAACAACTGAGTGGGTGAGGCAGAAGGTAACCACACTGCCCCAAGAAAATCTCTGGGAATGCACCAGCACAGGGTGTTGTAATCACTCACTGGGCTCTAGGATGCTCCAGGACAGAGGAAGTATCCTGTCCCTGGGGGTAACTAAGCAAGCATCCAGCAGTCATGTGGTGCTCGGAGGCAAATATCGTGGCCATTTTCCCTAGGCAAATGAGGCTTGGAAGGTGGGCAAGTTCTTTAGCTGGACAAGGTGCTCACCTCAAAGTTACTCCAAGCAGGGCAGGGGATCTTGCGCTCTCACTGCCAAGTCAGCAGAGCTCATTGGAGTCTCTACCCTCCCCTTGACTCTGAGAGGCCACTGCCCCTCCCCTCCTTGAAAGGTGTCATTTGAGCACTGTGGCTCTGTCAGTGGTAACAGCCGTAAGATTTGTCCTTTTAATCCAGAATCAATAACAAATTTCATTTAAAAATAAATTAAACCAGGCATTGGAAATCATTCACCGTGCGGGCCAGGGCCCTATACAGCACCGTCTAAATGGCTTCCTCTCACTCATCTATCAATGTCACGAGGGGGGAAATACCTGAGCTGCCTGATTCATGGGGAAACGACTTAAATGTATCAGGACCTAACAATGAGCAATGTAAGCCAGAGCCGCACCTTGAACACACCAATAACATGGGAGTGAGGCTTCATGGGAGCTTATCAAGACCCCACGGTCACCGGCTTTGAGGGAGTCCATTTGTAAGGGGGAACAATGGCTTTAGGATATAGCTGCCTAATTTCTAGAATGCATTACCGAGCTCAGAGGAGCAATGGAATTCTATTAAAGCCTTATCTGCCACAGGAGGGCATGAAACCGGCAGGGAAATCCAGACTTGGCACTACCATGCCGAAGACAGCACCAGAGCTGGCCTGGGAGGTGGGTGAAACAGCCCAGAGGTGGGAGCCTCTGGGTGTGTGGAAATATGTGCATTAATAGAACTCCAGTTGCCAGCGATTACGTTTACATCAGCGAATAAAACTTGGCAATAAAACATCAGAGCTGCGTCTCCGACAGCACCTCCATTTATAGCCTGTGTATTTCACTCATTCTAAGAGGAGGCAGGGAACTCGAGGTGTCCCCATTTCTCCCCCTTTAATTAAATTTCCTAAATTGCTGCCTAGGATTTGGATAAAGAGAATGACTTACAGCTCCAGTAATGGCCATCGAGGCTCTTGGCCCATCACTGGAGTGGCCCTGACTGTACCAGGCTCCATCATTATTAAAGTGAAATATCGTTAACCTGGCCTTCCTGGGCTCTGGTTTGTAGAAGGAGATTCAGCATCTTATGAGAAGCTGGCCCTGGCCCAGGTCTGCCTTGGTTATCATCTCTCTGTGTGAGCTTGGGTGAATGACTGGCCCTTCCTGAGCGTCATGGCTCCCCTCCACCACACATACACCATCTTTGCTTCCATCTGAAGTCTCTGACAATTGGTCGAGGCTAGAACAACCCTCAGTTACATATCATGTAAAGTATTAGTGCCCAGGCCACAGCCAGGAATGTTGACATTAGTGTCCCAGATGACTCCAATGCCCAGCCAAGGCTACAGCATCCCGAGTGCTGTGATTGAAGGTGTGTTCCTTTACCCCCAGCCAGCTACTTTTATTTTTG